AAGTGATTTCAAAAATATATATTTCTCGATACATATTGATTATAGATATTTGCAAATGTTTCTCAACTTACTTTCTGCACTAGCAAGCATTGGAATGTTTGAAAGTAAGCAGTGGCTCATAGTGTGATACAGTGATACAATAACTAACTTTTGGTGTTTCTTTGTGTGAGGCAATTCTAAAACATCAAATGTATAATTGTATGTGTAACTTGGACGAGACAGAGACCAATAATATAGAGGCTTTTACCAAAGCTGCTCTTGCTAGGATCAGAAAACACTAGCAAGATACTGTAGCCTCAATATGAATGTTCTTTGGGCTGTGGCTTTATCTCATATGTTTTATTTTCTCACTTTTCCTTACTGGCATGAAACCTGTTATCAGTCTGAAATAAAGTGTGAATTGAAAGTTGTTCATGTTTACTTTATTCATTCTGCTGTCATCTGTTACTAAAAAAAATAATGTGTTGTTGCCATGTTATAGCCTTGTATGTTAATCTTTAAAAAAAGAATGCTGTGATCTGTAACTCTGAGGTATTCCAAAGGGTATTCAGTATTTTCCAAGGTATTGTATCAAAGTCAAAAGTCTAAAATTGTGACAGTACTATTCTGTGTCTGTGTATGGGTGTGTGTTTGTAGTACCTCAGTAAGTAATGAGGTACTAAGGTTCAGACTGGAGAGGGCGTCCAGGATGGGAACAGTCAGCTGAGTGTTCTCCTGGAGTAAAGAGCTACACAGAAGAGATGAAAGTAGCAGTTAGTAATATCACTCTGAGCAACAACCACAGGATCTGCAATCCAGACTGACAGAACCCACTTGAGCTCTCTGGCTATATCGTTGTGCTGGAAGTCATCCAGTATCTCTGGCAGACTAGTGATGATGTCACGCTGGACCTCCACAGGTGCGACTGACACCAGCTCCATGAGCTTCACCGCCAACTCCTGCACATGACAGGGAGGCAGAAATAAACACATCACCGTCTAGAAATGAGTGATGACTGAAGAAGAGATACATGATTACAGGTCTAATGGAACAGAGGAGCAGAAACTGTTATGACTACAGCACATGCAACCTATCATCACAGAAATGACTACCTTGCTGTCCACAACTCGGTCGAGCCATTTAAGCTGGTTAATTATTATGTGAGGAATACTGAGCCCTCCATCTCCAGCTCTGAGAAAGACAGAACAAGAAGACATTTAGAAAAACAGGCGAAGTGTATAACATGGTGAAATAATGTTAAGTAAACTCGTTAAAATACTAACCCATCAAGCATAAATTCAGGGATTTTCTCGATCAATGTGTTGATGATAGGGGTCTACATGAAAAAGAAAATCAGATTAAGGATTTGTGGAAGAAATACTGTACATGTACATTTTTCACAACACATTTTGCATTTGTGTGCCGAATAATAACTGTTTGAATTCATCTTGTTGTTTGACTTATTTTGTGAAAGAGCGATGCAGTTGTCTTTGACAGAATTATGCAGGAAATCTGACCTGCAGGATTTCAATCCCCAGCAGCATGCGGAGCAGACTTTCCTGAAATGAGCTGACACAACTGCAACACAGAAGAAAACATGTCAGTACTTCACATCATACAGTCAGACTACTGACACAGGTTTGGTTTAGGCTGAAAGGTTAGCTTATTGATAAGTTAGAAAATAATTGACAACTGATATTTGATCAAGGAATAAAAAGAACACCTGCGACCTGCCAAATACAGGGTACATGTTGACTGTGGGTGGTACAATGTGCAGGTCATCCGCAAACATGACAGGTTTTTTTTGTAAGATGTAGGTGAGGGAAAAAAAACAGACCCTGTAGCTGATTTTTCATTTAAGTATTTTGTATGCCAATATTGCAGAACAATATGGTTTCTAGGCCTCTCAAACAAAGAGATGTCCTGCTTTTCGCCTGTTCTATATCACATTTAACTGAATATTAACTTCTACCTCAAGTTTTAAACCAGGTTGATTTATCAAGAAAATAATACAGCAGAATCATCCATAATGAAAATAATCATCATTCTCGCCCCAGTTGTATTTTTATTAATGGAAAGTTGTGCTTAAAGGTGGGGTAGATAATTTGGGAGAAACCAGCTCGAGTGCGATAGAATTTGAAAATACACAACCAGAAAGAATCTGCCACTTCCTTACAGAGCCCCTCCTCCAACACACACCAACGCGCACCAACGCGCACCAACGCGCACCAACGCGCACCAACGCGCACCAACGCGCACATGACCAATGAGGGCACGAGATAAGTTTGTGCACAGATGGAAGGCTGACAGGCAGGTAGGCCATCCAGTTATTTTAGCCGGGCCGGCTAAAATGATTGGTCGTGCTTTTTACAGTACTACGGCTTCCACAGATGACATTTTTTTATGGATTTTTTGTAAAAGCACTTAAGATATTCATTGCTATCGGGATGTTAAGAGCATTCCATGGAATATAACAAAAAGTGTATCTCGAGCCGGTTTCTCAAACTTACCTACCCCACCTTTAATATTGCTTCTATTTTAGAAGAAGACATACTGTATTTATCCCTTACAGGGACATTTCTTTCCCCACTCTGTTGTGTTTACACACATTACACACACAGGGGAGGATATACATGCACAAACACTATTAGCATCAAGTGTGTGTTCTTTTTAAGTCACCTGGAGTCCCCATCAGACAATCGTGGGACACATGGAAGAAGGCAGTTCCTAAACCGCTCAGGTTCTTCAATATGAGACTCCAATCCAGCGGTGAATTCTTGAACAATCTGAGCAAAGAAATGGCAGAGAAACATAACTTGCAAAGATTAAACATACTTCATAATATTTGTACATATATGCTCACTACCAGTGTACGTGTCCTCTCTGGTTGCTGAATGTTAAAGGGACTGTGATACATGCAAAATGGAAATCCTCCTGTTTGCATGACTCAGATTGCATTCATATGGCGGTTGGTCTTTATATAAGTTTTCCTAAAATGTGATTTAAATAATTACAATATATTGCCTTACTTAAAGTATCACAATGTATCGTAACTTAACCGCTCATCATTACATGAATATATCAACCGATTCCTGCAAATACACAGCTCCAGTGTGTATACTTACTCCAGGATACCTGGGACTCTTCTGCAGTTGTTTCTGTATCCTTTTTTGGAAAACGACTTGGTCGACAGCTGGATCAGAAAAATCAGAAGTGGAAAAATGTATTTAATTTACTGGCATGGCATGTTCTTAGTTTAGTTTTTGAACTTGGTCAGAGTGTGTTTACCAATCTCATTGGACGTGCCACCTTGTTTTAAGGTGACCCCTGCCTCTCGAAGAAAGACACCAAACACACTTTCATTTGTCTCTTCTTGAGCAGGTTCCTTTGGTTGGCGACCAGTGCTGCGACTCTTCTTCGCCTCTTTGAAGATAAGAGAAACACTCTTTAATAAAACAGTATCACAGTATTGGGCTGCCCATATAGATAATGTTTTAGAAAAGGTGTCAAGGTGCCATAAGTTAATAAGGGGCATGGTTTATTGGCTGGTGTAATCATGTCAGTGTGATGGAAACATGCAGTGGTTCTGTCAGATCACTGTCATAAACTTGTGATGCTGTCCTCTCAATTAAATAGAATATAGAGTATACAGTCGGGATCTAGGGATTTTTATATCATAGTAGGCACGTATAGGAACATCAATGGGAAATCCTGTACTGACACATACATGTGAACTGCTGTGTATACAACTTACTAGTGCTGCTCGTAGTAGCTGCCTCTACTTTATCCGCAGTAGAGCGTCTCTTTTTACGCATCATCTGAAAAATTATAAAAGACAGGAGGTTTGTAATGTGCTAGACCAGGCTAGCGTCCACAGTAGCAATCAAGCTAACGTGTTGTTATACATTCACATGAAAATACTATGCTTTGGCTAGGGTATTAGCTAATCCAGTCATTTATAAACTATACAACAAACATGACATGCTTTCACTTTCTGGCTTTTTAACAAGTGTATGTTGTTGGCTGTCAGTAACATTCATAATGATAAAAGTGAGACATACTTTTAATAGAAAGACGATCCCACAGACGACGATTTTATGTACAATCCCAGAGACTGAAGTTACAAAACAAACCTCCGCGCCAATGTGCTTAAAAACGTCACCAACTGCAGTTAGGGATCATCTTCATGGAGTTTAGGGTAACAGGGAGTAACAAATAGAATACAATGCCTAAAGACGTCTGAGAATAATATGTTTATACATTATATTTATAATAGCCTCATAAGTTAGCCTGTTGACTGAATTATCTTTGGTGATATTTTTTTAATTAAAAGTGATCCGTCGTTAACATTACAACCGTTACAACATGTTTCAGACGGTCTCTAACTTTCTTACATTGGGTTGCATGTATTTATTAAACCATGTGTTCTTTGTTGGGCGGGGTTGGAACTGTCTACTTGTTTAGTCACAAAGACTTGATCCGGGATACGCCGTGTGCAGAAACATGCAAACCCCCAGAGCTCCGTACCTGCGCAACCACATCGAAGAGTTTGGAGTTGATTGAGCTGATTCACTTCCTGCTCTTCGCCTAAGCATGGTTGACTCATAACGTTTGAACTCATTAACGTAATGATTTAAGAACTTAACGAGACTTCGCATGCTCATCCAACACACACACAAACACACATATATCTGTCGTAACATAGGTGCAAAAATTCACATGTAAAGGTCCCTACCTGAGGGGCGCTCAAGTGCCGCATAATTATTCATATGGGATTTGGGGTCCAAATAAAGTGGATATTGTGTTTGCCTCTATGGTTATTCATATAATAACTTGGATTTATTTCTATAAGTAGGCTCCATTCATTTTGACCAGTCTTGTATTTTTTTTTATATAAATGTGATGGTAACCTGGAACTTTCAAAGCGGCCGTCCCACAGGCTGCAGGGTGTGAATTATCTTGACAACAAATACAGTGTGAGGTCCACCAGAAGGGGAGGGACTTCGCCACTAGCGATTGCTCAAGAAATTGAAGCAGGCAGTGTCTTCTTGGAAAGTCAGGTGCAGTGTGTGACCAATACAAAACGAAAAGTATCTACCATGGCAAGAAAGGCTACGAAGTTTTACGAGTTCTCGTCCAAACTGCTGACGGGAGAAACGTTTAATTTATCTTCACTCAAGGGCAAAGTTGTCCTCATTGAGAATGTCGCTTCTCTCTGAGGTACGACCACCAGGGATTACACCCAGATGAACGAGCTCCAGGAGCGGTACGCCGCGAAGGGGCTCGTGATTCTGGGAGTGCCCTGCAACCAGTTCGGCCATCAGGTGAGAGATAACCGTCACCAGATCCGCTGTCTTATCGACCTTCAGCCACACTGTGGTTATTTGTATTTTATGAATTGTCCTTATTCAATTCTCTTGACTTCTAAAATAATTTCAAACCGAAATAGATGTATTGCTCTCAGACTATACAGTATAGTTAACCAGTTATAAAACACCATACAGCTATTGTAAATTACATTTAATTATAATTTGTCAAATGGAGGCAGTTTTGTTCCTTTTTGAGACTTGCTTTACATTTTAAAAGTTACTTAGCTTGTTTCAGGTTTAGCTTTATTCTTATAGTAAGTTATTATGTAAATGCTACAGACATAGTCATCTTATTATATACATTAAGTAAGACAATGGTTGCCAATGTGCATAGTAAACCTACAATTTGAAGGTTTTCTTCCGTTGAATAATTCAGTTCCTGTGACAGTTTCAACATGGTGATTTAGAGGAAAGAGGACATGTGACAATGGGTGGTTTTTAGGTTGATCCTTTTAGTTGTGTTGGTTGGTTTATTATATGAACTTACTGCCATGTATCATCACAATTAGTTTTTCTGCTTGACATTATAATACACACAGCATAAAATATGTCTTTTACTATCTTTCTTTCTTATCTTTTTATGGCATCAATATTAGTAACTCATTAATAGACATGATGGTTCAAATATTCAGCAGGGAGGAGGGATCCTTTCTCCTCCCACTGACTGTTTAAGATAAAGAAAAAGAGAAAAAGAGAAAGAACATTCTGGTGACAGAGGCAACCCAAATCTTTGTTCTGTGTAGGAATGGTTCACTTATCAGATTACCAATACGTTAAGCTGCAGTTATTTAGGAGACATTAATACAATTGTCCTCAACAATTTCAAACTTTGAGCAAGGGTTTATATACTAACTGGAATTGAAGTAGTAATGTCAGACTTAGTTTTCAGTCCAGCTTTTCACTCCACTACTTCTAACATACCTTTAATGTTCCATGAGAGTATCTCCTGATCACTAAACACCATTATAAATATGTAATACATGTCTATAGGGACACCATGTTAGACTTTATCAAGGAAACTTCCTATAGTAATCTGAACCCCTCTGCTAAATGTCCCCAAATGACACATACTCTTCTGATCCACCCATGCAGGAGAACTGCAAGAATGATGAAATCCTTGTGTCCCTGAAGTATCTCCGTCCTGGAAAGGGTTTTGAGCCCAAGTTTCAGCTCCTGGAGAAAGTGGATGTGAACGGGAAAGACGCCCACCCCCTGTTTGTGTTCCTGAGGGAGATGCTCCCCACCCCCAGCGACGACCCCTCCTCCCTCATGACTGACCCCAAGCTGATCATGTGGAGCCCAGTATGCAGGAACGACGTGGCCTGGAACTTCGAGAAGTTCCTCATCGGGTCGGATGGAGTGCCCTTCAAGCGCTACAGCAGGATGTTCCTCACCAGCGACATTGAGGGAGACATCAAGAAGCTCCTCAGCCAGGCCAACTAAAGAAGCCGTCCTCAAAAATGCTGTCCGCCCTACAGCTTGCACCTGCACAATGTGTGTGACCTTCACGTCACCTTTGTTATTCCCTCCATAGCTTCTGTAGATGGTGTACGGCACTTATCCAGACCACCTGTGCTCTCTTATACGCGGTGATGGCTGTGTTCTGTTCTTTTACTACATGAAGGCATCCTCTGAAACCAACTCGTTGTGAGGGGGGTACCTGATGAAATGTAAAAGGCTGAATGTTTGCAGCTGCACTGTGTGCATGTATAGCATAGCTGTGTTTCGGGACCAATAAATGTATTTTTTCAAACGTTTTCAGACTACCTCTGTGAATTCATAGTAATACGATTTTATACGCCAACCTAACATGGTACATTTTGATTAACTCTTTATATTTTTTTATGTAAAATGAATCTCAAAGGTCAAATTTAGAGAACATATAAAAAGATCTTATATGAACATCCAGTATGAAAATTCAACTTTGCTCAATAATAACCATGCCAGATTTAATGCTGCTATTGTTATTTTGAACATTGGATAGCACTTAGAACACTGCTCTTATTTGACCTTCTTTTGTATTGGTTTTATATCAGGTCCCATTGTAGTTTTCCAAATAAAGTTTCTTATCTAGGATATTAGCTGTAATCAGATCATGTACAGATCATAGTTCGTTTTTGCAACCAGTCAGCATGAGTTGCAGCACCTGCAAATAAAGATCATTTTGCAATACAGTTATTAGACAACCACTACTGACATTACACCGGCTTTGGAAAAGTCCCAGCTTTTGTGTGGTCTTATACTATTTTTTTGGTGCATATAATTATTCCAAACAAACCACCCTGTTGAGGCTTCCAGTCTTTATTGTACTTTGAATTCAAATATTTCTCAGTTAGAAACAAATACTGTAGATATCGGCAATAAGATAAATATGAAGACAAGAATTTATACACCTATTTTCAATAGTGTGATCATTTACATCTCTATGGTTATGTTCGAGTTTGAATTGCTGTCGTGATTTAGGGGGAAAACAAGATTCTCAGCATTTAGCAGCTGAACGTTGTTTTCAAAGAAGTATCTAAGATTACTAAAATGATGTAAAGCTTTTCTAAGCATAGGCTTGAATGAGTATATTTAGGTAGTTCACTTTTAAATGACATGATGGTCAGGACCAACCAGCAAAGAGGGCACTTGGAGGTCCTGCATATCAACATGCTGTGATGCAACAAAGTGCAGAATTTATGCCACAGAACAAGACTTCAGGAAACAGATTCATTTAGTACTAACTACCATCTGATTCACCAGAGGATCCTTGAGACTGACTATAGGTAAATATGTTTGAGACACATTATAACTGTGCTTCCTGTGATAACGGTGTATGTAATGACCAAACTCAGAAAGACTAAAAAAGGGATTCTTCTTTTATGTTAGCAACTGAGACAGCCTTATGTCCATGATCTCTGGAAGCAAAGAAATCAGGTCCACATGACTGCACTCAGCTGTTTAAGTGCTGCTCTCATGACCCCATCTGATGACACATGTACATTGTTCCTAATCACAAGGAGCAAGTCAAGTTTCAGGAATAAAAGCACCACTTTTAAACTAGTTTATTTTTGCTTCACTCAGTGTGCTTTAAAGATATCAAATAACATAGCCATTTCAATACAGAGCTGCATTAATGTACAAGACTAGGGGTCCGATCAGGCAGCAATCAAAATATTCCTATAAGACACATTAAAATGATGTGGAAGTGAATGACAGACTGTAACCTTTAATGCCTAGGCCAAATCATACAAATCTGTCATGTCCAAAAGCAGGTAGATAATGTACTCATGGAGAATTCAAAGTGCCCCCTTTTTTAGTCAGGCTGCAGGAATCAAAAGGCCTCTTTTGCATTGTGATTAAAAAAGAAAAGAAAAGGGGGGTAAATAAACATTAGTAGCAGGGTAAGTCTCCTCTCATGAGTTTAGGGTCCGAGAGACAGCAGAGCCCATTCTGTGCATCAAAGAAGAAGAAATTGATGGCTGAACAAAAACTGCTTCTGCCACAACTCATGTCGGGATGCAGATTTGAAAACCTTTATAAAGAAATCCCCTATGTAGGTTTAGATTGCAACACAGAGCAAGAAGAACAGCCGCCACAGTTAGACCGCGGCAGCCAGATCCGCCATCAGTGATCCACTATACAGGTGGAATAAGGTCACAGGATTCTTTCAACAAGCATGGCATGTATTGTTCTGCGTGCACATCACACTGTTTAAAGTTTGCATTTACCTCAGCCCAGCAAGACTATGAAGAGTGAAACCCAGGCCAGTATCTTGCTAATGTCTTATCAGATGGTACATATCATCATAAAAACCTCTGAACGCTTTGGTTGAAACATGTGCATTTGGCTTTTTTTTAGATTTTGACTGTTGTTGTTAGCAACAGACACATTTTTATTTATCTATGCATGTGAGGGCACTACTAACATTCTGTTTATCCAGTGAGAGGATCTCTATCCATTTACACTCCTCTTTAGTTCCAGACTAGTAAAACTATACTCAGAAATCAGTGGGCCGCCCGCTGCAGGGAGGAAGTCTCTCAGGTCCCTCTTCTGACATGGCTGTTGGCTCTAGTGGACAATATACGAGACAGCAATCAAATAAAATACGGGGAAGGAAGGGTGAATAATGTTAAGTCTGCGGAGTCCTCTGTCACTAAAGTAGCTTTGTGTGTGCGTCCGAGTGTCTCTATTTGCTGTATGTGTTTCAGTGCGTGTCCCTTTGCCCCAGGGCTCCTCAGTTTGTGTCCATGTGATCCTCGGCTGCTTCGGGGGCTCCTCCCAGCGATGCCGAGGGCTGAGGTTTGGAGGAGGGGGCTTCCTCGTCTCTGCGCTGATAGAACAGCACGTAGGCTGCTTTAGTCTGCAAGGGGCGACATGGATACCATTACAAAACAAAAACAGGGACACTCGACACCAAGGACAGAAGGCCATGAAGGCTTTTCGTCATCAAACATTGGTCACTGATAAAAGAACACGCAAGGATCCCTACTGCATCTTTTGGGGGACATTAATCCAACATTTATTAACATTAAAAAGTGAAAACTCACCACAATCTGGTCCTCTGAGGCAGAGGAGACACTGCTGTCATCAAAGTAATACCACTTTCCATCCACTTTATTCTTGCCATACGCCGTGTCTGTTAGAGGGGAAGAAGTGTTAAACAAACAGCTTTTCAGTTCATTTGTTTATCCAGGAAGAGATACTGATCTCACACCAGCTCACCATGAATGGACAAAGCTAACTCAAAGAAAGACCTAGTCAACAGAGAACAAAGAGGCCTGAGGCACTTAGCCATATTAAAATGTAACTGGCTAGTGTCCAAGGAGACAGAGTTGTTGTTCAGCATACCATTTGTCGACGCATATTGTTTGTGTGGGTATTTTTAAAGTCCAAACAACAAACTGTGCTGGCACTAAAGGGTGAATATTTTTGACTGAAAATACCAGATTATTGTTATAATAAGCTTTTAACAGCCCTTAATGGTTTGTATATATGGAGTGAAGTTGGCTATTCCAAAAGAAGGCAAAGTGTTATTTAAGAGATTCAAATGACAAAATGTGACTTACAGTGACCCCCTCCCATTCCTCCATAGTGGTTTGACACGGAGATGAGGTCATACATGAAGGGGCCGGCCTTGGGGTCGCACACAAACTCCGACATGTTGAGATCCCTGATGGAGAAAACATAAATCAGTCACAGGAAAATAAAATGGAATTGCCATCACACTGAAACTGAGCAATTTCAATTTAAATACCCACAAAATAAAACTAGATTCAGGTACCATCACATTTGTAAAACACAGCATATGGGCCTACTGTTTGTCTAAGCCAACATTGTCTATTGAGCATGACTTGGCATTTTTTTGTAAAGCTGGATTTCAGTCACCTTTTAAGCCTACTGGTTCCTAGTGGATCAAGTTTCTCAACTGACACAAGGCCACGAGTGAGACAGGTAGACGGAGTTAAAAAAAACACTGTAGTGTGTACTAAGTGAAAAACAAAATGTCTGTCTATGATGAAAGACTACTTCTGAGCTATAAAAGTTACGCAACAAGACAGTTAAGGACAATACGAACAAAGGTGTAATTGTTCTTTGAAGTATGAAGCAACTTTCCTGAAGCCAAAGTCCATTTCTTTAAAGTACAGAACGAGTATTTCCTCATTCTGACCTTGAGTCATTTTGTTCTTTGAGTTTTAGACTTTAGCTCCCCCTGGTGTAAAAGTGCCACTTATACTGTTTCTCAGTTCCTTAGGCACAATCTTCAAATGACAACCACTATTTTAAAATTGAGTGAACGTAGGTGTATCTACGGCTGATAATTACAATTGAGCATCACTTAGTAGCCATAATCTATAATACTGCTCTTCCAAAGAACATCAATAATGGCAAAAAACTGATACAACGTGAATCTTTATCAAGTTAAAAATCGAAAAGCATCTACACTTCAACTATCAAAAGGCAAGGCAAGGCAAGGTAAGTTTATGTATATAGCACCTTTCAATACAAGGCAATTCAAAGTGCTTTACAAAAATGAAAGACATTAAAAAGTGAATTATTCTAAAGGAATCTAAAGCTACAATCTTCCTCATCAAACGAGAGCATTTTTGTTAAACTTCTTCCATTATGTTAACAATCAGTCCTGCCAGCGTACCTGATGGGAAAGTCCACCACGGTGTCCAGCTTGTCCCTCCAACACCGGTTGTAGGAGAAGCGCTTCAGATGAACTACCAGAATGCGAGGCAGCGACCACAAGTCAAACTTCTTTGTAGCCTGTTGGTGTTTCTTACATGTTGGACAATACCTGCATTCAACAAAGATGGTATTTATATGACAAAAGTTTTAGTTTGACAGTGAATGAGGCTGCAGTTGTTGTGAACGTTACCATGGGTCGTGTTCTCCCAGCGTCTCCATGGTGGTGAAGAGCTCCGTGCACTCCCTCAGAGCCACAGTGGCTTTCTTCTTCTGGGGCTGCAGCATGCTCTCGTGCTTCTCATAGGCCTGCACACAGCATTCACACACACACATAAATAGACTGGATATATTGTGACAGGATTTGTTGTGATGAACGCTCCCCTACTGACCTCTGCTTCCTGTTCATCGTAACACAGTTTCTTTGACTCCGAGTCCCAGTCGATCGCCACTGTGGAATGTGCTGCAGAGAAGAGGAGTGTGGGGAGGCTTTGTCAACACAAAGTTGCTTGAAAAAGATAAAGATCTATAAAAGAAGTACAAAAGATTAGCACTTACGATTGAGTTTGAGGACATTTCCATC